GGCAAGAGGCATCCAGAGGTCCGCCAATCGGTCCACCCGCCCCCCCCAGGGGCTCGGAATGAAACCTCGCGTCCGGGTGGTGGACTAGTGCCGAGCGGGTACATCCTTTCCCCGGCCCGAGGCAGTCAGTTACCAAAGGCCACTTGGGCAGGTTGGGCGTCGTTCTTCGGATCCAGCCGTCGGAAAAGCGCGGGGGAAAAAAAAAGGCATCCTCTCCCTCGCCTCCTGGCCCTGCGTGCGCGCTTGGCGCCGCAGCCGAACAACAGGAGGCGCTGCGCCGTTGCAGAAGCACAGCGGCTGCCCGGCGGCCTTGTCGCCTTCCCCTTTCTTCTTCTTCCACCGGCTGCCCCTTTCCCAAATAGCCGGGGGCCGCGGTGGCCTTGAGATGCCAAGGTTTTTAACGCGGAAGGGTTAAGATCTTTTAGGGAAAAGGCAGGGCGATAACTCAGAGCGTTGTCTTTTTCCTTGCTCAAACTGTCAAGTCAATTTCTTGTCGCCTGGTAGTTTAGTTTGCTGGGATTTCTTGACCTTTGGCCCAATGTCAAAAACGTTCACGATCCCAATAGCTTTTACTGTTGTTCACGACCATCATCATCATCATCACCATCGTCATCATCAACATCAGGGGTAGTCAACCTTGGCTCTTTTATGACTCGTGGACTTCAACTCCCAGAATTCCTGAGCCAGCTAAGCTGGCTCAGGAATTCTGGGAGTTGAAGTCCACGAGTCATAAAAGAGCCAAGGTTGACTACCCCTGAATTCAACATCATCATCATCATCGATTATATTTTGACCAGATGACATGGTTTTGCTGAATTAATGGAGGGAAACGAAAACATAAGAGAGAGTCATTTCTCTTCTGTATCTGTTGTTGTTGTTAGTTGTGAAGTCGTGTCCGACCCATCGCGACCCCATGGACAACGTTCCTCCAGGCCTTCCTGTCCTCTACCATCTTCTGGAGTCCATCTGTATCTGTAGTTCACATTATACACCTCCAAGATCCCATCCCCATCCCACAGACCCATCATTAAATTAAAGCCCCAGGAATTCTGCAAGTGTCTTATGAAGTTGCAGGAATTCTGCAAGTGTCCTATTTACTGACTGATATCCAAAGGATTGCAAATCATTCAAATCTAAATTTATGGGATTGCTCTGGATCCCACTGCACTGAGATTTTTTAAAAACGTTCTAGATTTCTATCCCATTTATTGCCATAATGTGGGTGTTAACATTCCGATGGACTTCATTAGCCTGACAAATCTCAATTACTGTAGCCTTACAACGTTTGTAACAATGGCTACTAATTTAAACATACTTTATTCCAGATCATGCATTTAGGATCACAGAGTTCTATCCGGTGCGTTATAAATGATAGCTATCGGCTGCAGCATAAAAGTTCTTCCATGGCAAACTTGTTTCCAAAGCATTTTATTCCAAGGTCTTTCATTTACAGTGCAACTGGGTGTAAAAACAATGTGCTTTTCGCTTTTACTTTTTTAATAGCACACTTTTCTTTCTTGTTCTCTCCTGCTGATTTGAGACCTTCGCTGGAATCAAGGATTTAACTTCATTCTATTGCCAGATTTAAGAAGGGGGTTGGCAGCAGGGAACAAAAGAAGAAGGAGCTTTTTGTTAGCACGTTAAAGCGTATTTTAAAATTATGGATGTCGCTACTTTAAAAAAAAAGTTTGCTTTTGTTTAATTGATATTTATTAATAGAACTACATATCAGTGTGAATCAATAAGGACAAACCTCAGCTTGATGGAGACTTCAAGGGAATCTCAGGAATGCAAAAGAAATAAACAGCTAGGTTTGCCATCCCAAGTAAACCGGAAATGGTGTTCTGGATTCAAGCCCTTTAACACCGCCAGCAAAAATCATCCTAAGAAATGATCTGGATTCCAATTGCACCGCCTGCATTCTGACCCAGAAAGGCATCTTCAACACAAGAAAGAAACTGTACTTTCCTAGCAGGGGCCCGTGGTTGCGCTGCCTGCCTGCCTGCCCCATCTGGGAGAGATTCTGCTCCATACTGCTTCCCTACCCATTTCCTTAAAGATGCTCAAATTTGGGGAACGCCCAGAACTCTCACCTATTTCAGAGATAGTACATCCAGGTAAACACAAACACAGAATGTGGATTCCAGTGAAAAGGACGCAGGTTGGAAGAACAGCGTCCACTCAAGCCTGGCAAAATTAAATGCTTGGCTTCCAGCCAATTTTACGCCTCTGGAAATTAACTGGCAACCTCACCTGCAGCCCTTGAGCCAATGGACTCTACTGGGACCGATCCATATCTGGAGTTCAGTTCAGAGAATCTTATTTTCTCCAGGTGGCTTACACTGCAGCATAATTGTTGATTAGGACTGCCATTAGGCGCACGGGGGGGGGGGCGTTTAAGGGTATAAAGGACAAGGAATGTGTTAAGTGGATAAACCACAGTCTTCTATGCACTATCTATGCATTATTCCTCAACTCTGAGCAAACTGCTTTGTCCTTGAGTGAGATGGAAGGTTCAGAAATCTGAAAAATAAATGAAGGTAGCCACTCCGAGGAAATGTCCACCTGATAGTACTGTACTGTAAATAGTCTGGCTTTGGATCCCGATTCAATTATTTTATTCTGCTGAAGTCAATGAGAGGGAGGCCAATTATTCTTAAGCGTGGATTCAACCCACAGAAAATCAAGATCTTCCAAGACCCACTTTTAAATCCTCCTGAGTTGCTTGCTTTAATTTCTACCCACGAAATTATTCCCCAACCCACTTGCTTGCCACCAACTCTGGGGAGAGCAAGTGAGACTGCACGTTTTCGTAACTTTTGATGCTGGGAGGCCTCCATCAAGCCAACCGCAGGATCAAGCCATCGGCTGCCTGATTCCAGGAGAGTAGAGATGCCCCTTGCAGAACAACGTTAGACGGGTGGAGTCAATGTGCAAGAGAAGACCGCCACCTGGTCTAAAGCAACGGCAGGAGGACAACCGAAGATTTGTGCCCCACAGCCATTTCTGGCTCAGTCGTCAAATCTCCCGTGGCAATCACCTGTTATTGACTCGCCCAGGCGGTTCCTACGGTGACGATTTCCAGGCAAGGCGCGGGGCTGGAGCGGGAGGAAGAAAGCAATGAAAATGGTCGGAATGACTCACCTGGGCCCCTTGCCAAGCGGAGGTTTCAGGCCAAGAGATCCACCGTTCAGACCTCAGCGCGCCGGGCCTGGACTGGCTGAACGTCACAGTAGTGACTCATTTATCCAGCCGGTGCTTCTGCCCGAAAGAAAGAACACAATGCCCAAAGGATTGGGGGGGGGGG